ATAAAATTGAAAGCCTTGCATGAAACATAGGCTGCATGTCAGAGAAGCCTGTAGGACAGAGTGTCTTCTGATTGGCAGATGCAGATGCTCCATGACCAATGGGGAGCTACAGAGGGCCAGAGAGAGCGTCATGGGCAGAGCTGGGCTCTGGAAAGTTTCCCTGGATTTACTGGGGACGGATCTGGACCACCTACGCCCACCGCAGTCCTCTGCTTTTCCCTCTCTAACTCACATAAGGTCCTGACAGATCCTTGTCTTCTGTTCTCTGCTGTTTCCCATTGCAGCCTGGGCCGCTGGGATGCTCCTCCTCCACCAGACTCTCCGCGGGAGAGGGGGAAGCACTCTGTGGGGAGAAAGGTCCGGAGCTGGGTTCCCAGACTGTGTTCTGGTTCAGCTATCACCCAGGGCCCCTCACTGGGGACTCTAGGCTGTCACTCTACCCCGAGCCACGCCCCCAGCCCCTCACTGGGGATTCTAGGCTGTCACTCTACCCTGAGCCACGCCCCCAGCCCCTCACTGGGGATTCTGGGCTGTCACTCTACCTTGAGCCACGCCCCCAGCCCCTCCCTGGGGATTCTGGGCTGTCACTCTACCCTGAGCCACGCCCCCAGCCCCTCACTGGGGATTCTAGACTGTCACTCTACCCTGAGCCACGCCCCCAGCCCCTCACTTGGGGGTCTAGGCTGTCATTCCTTGTAGTCCTTTCATTCTGTGATAGGGTCTGATTTTGTAGCACAGGCTGACCTTGAACTTGTGATCCTCCTGCTTCAGCCTCCTGAATAGCTTGAGTGACAGCCTTTCACCATTTGGCTGACTAGAAGGCTTTTAGCGCATTGTGAATTGAGCCAGCACTGTGTTCTGGAATGGGCAGAGACCACGATGGGCATACAGTCTGTTCACTGTGGGGCTGACTCTCAAATGGAGAGAGAAGTTCAGTGGGCAGAACACTCGCCTAACATGCACAGTGCCCAGGTTTCATCCCCAGCGCCACATAAAACCAGGTGCAGTGTCCCACACCTGTCATCCCAGTACTGCCCCTCACTGGAGGATTCTAGGCTGTCACCTTACCCTGAGCCACGCCCCCAGCCCCCTCACTGGATGATTCTAGGCTGTCACTCTACCCTGAGCCACGCCCCCATCCCCTCACTGGGGATTCTAGGTTGTCACGCTACCCCTGAGCCACGCCCCCAGCCCCTCATTTGGGGACTCTAGGCAGTTTTAAAATGCGTTTCAGTGGGACTTGCAGCCACCCACCCAACGCCCATCACCCACCCCTGAGAGTGGGGTTGGGGGCATGAACATAAGTAAACTCCCACATCCCTGACTTACCCTGCTCGCAGCTCTCTCTGCTGGTGGATGGCACCAAGTCCGGAGAAAAACAAAGAATGAGGGTTTCCCATCCCACAGGGCAGGTGAGAGCCCCACAGCTTATCTGACCCCTCCTCCCCACGCCAGAACATGTCTGCTCCTCCCCACGCCCCTGGGAAAATGGACTAGCCATTCCCAACACCTTCAGAGAGACACGCAGAGATGGCCATCTATTTTCCAAAGGACACACAGCACTCCCGTAGCGTTAAGCCCCAAGGCCCAACAGCCGCTATTACCTGTTACCCACACGCCCACTTCTCTGCCAGCGCCCCTCTGGGCTGCCTACTCACCCCTGGAGGCCTCGGAGTCCACGCCCACACGGTCCTCTTTCGCAGCAGCCAGCTGGGCCTGCGCAGCCAGTGCCCCGGACAGGGCCAGCAGCCCCGTGGCGCTGCCGCCCACCAGGCCGGCCGGTCTCGGGGTGAGCGGCACAGGCGGGGTGTGGGTCAGAGGCTGGAGCTGCTGCTGGAGGGGGACAGGGTGGCCAGGGCGGGTGGGGGAACAGTCTGCACGGGCTGGGGGGGTGGCTGGCTGGACGCGGGGCGCAGGGCGTTTAGCACCTACTGGTGCCCTGGGCTGCGGGGGTGGGGGGGGTGGGCTCACCCCGATGAGGCTGTTCAGCTCCCCCACGGTCACCTGCTTGGCCCGTTCCACAGCCTGAAGAACCTGTTGCTGGTGCTGGGGGTGGGGGAAGAGGACGGAGGGACAGGTGGACACGGGACAGATAGACCAAAGGACACAAGGACACAGGACAGATGGACAGAAGGACAGATGGACAGACATGGGACAGAGGGACATGGCACAGAGAGATAGGGGACAGAGGGACAGAAGACAGAGGCTTACGTCAAGCTCGCAAAGTGTTCGGGCTAGGTCCCATCTCTACCTCTCCAGCAGTGGGGTCACAGACACCTCCTCAGTGCAGGACACACTAAGCAGACCATCAGCACAGAGGGGCATATACCCAGCCTGAGGTCACACAGCCTGGATTGCTCACTGCAGCACAAGCTGTCAGGTCAGTGCACCGCAGATAATCATCTAGAGCAAAGGTCTGGGCCTGGGGAGAGGCTCAGTGAAGCCATGTCACAGCAGAGGGAGCCCAGGTTCCACTCTCAGCACCCAAGTAAAAAGCCCAGCATGGTGCAGGCTTGGAACCCCAGCAGTGCTTGCAGACAGGAGGATGCCAGGGGCTCCCTGGCCAGAAGGTTGAGTCTTCTTGGTGAGCTACGGGCCAGTGAGAGACCATGTCTCAAAAATAAACATAATAAATAAATTAATTAATTAATTAATTAATTAATTAGTTGAAGGTTGGGATCAGTAAGATGGTTCAGCCTCTAGAAGGGCTTGTTGAAAAACCTGATTGACTAGAGTTCAATCCCTGGGACCCACATGATGGAAAAAAAGAACAGTTGCCTGAAAGTTGTCCTCTGACCTCCACGTATGCGTACACACACACACACACACACATACACACACACACACACATATAAATATATAAGTAAAATAAAAATTGTAATGAAAAAATTGTAGGGGTAACCTGACACAATGGCACCTGCCTTTAATCCCAGAGGCAGGCGGATCTCTGAAATCAAGGCCAGTCTGATCTACATAGTGCATTCCAGGCCAGGGAAGCCCTGTCTTGAACAGCAACAACAAAACTGCACGGGCTGGAGAGCTGGCTCAGTGATTTAAGAGCATTGGCTGCTTTTGCAGACCTGAGTTTGGTTCCTAGCACCACATGGCAGCTAACAATCAACCCTTAAGTTTGACCCTCTAGCTCTACTGGCCTCTGAAGGTATTGCATGACACCAGTGCACTCACACATGCAGGCAAAACACACACATAAAATAAAAATGAATGAAATATTTTAAGTAAATAAATATTTTTTATTTAATTTAATTTTTTAATTTAGTAAATAAATATTTTTAAAAACAGGTGAACAGCCAGGTTGGGTGTGGTAGCTCATGCTTTTGGTCCCAGTACTCAGAAGGCAGAGGCAGGCGGATCTCTGTGAGTTTGAGGCCAGCCTGGTCTACATAGTGAGTTCCAGGCCAGCTGGGGCTACAGGGAGACCCTGTCTCAAAAAGACCAAAAGAATGACATGAGGCCCCCACACCCATGAACACTCAGTCACCCTCAGCCAATATCTCCCAGGGTCCCATCTCCTTCCTCCCTCAGCTCCCCCCAGGCACACTCACCTCCTGGGTAAGAAACGGGATAATCTGAGCACAAATTCCACTGAGACGCTTTCCGATCTCCGCCTGGAGGGAACCACACAGGTGGTGTTTCAGAGGGATATGATGCTCAGCCGCCATCCTGACTCTAGGTGTGTCAGGAAGGCTGGCGGGGTAGATGGGTGAGGATGTCATTTCCCCTCCTGGGAAGGGGAAACTGAGGCTGAGGTCCTACTTGTCAGAGACACCCCAGGAAGCAGCCCAAGTTGGACACCTCCACCCAAACATACCCAGGAAGCAGGCCTCAGTGGGCACCCCACTCTGTCAGCTCATCCTACCTGGAGGAAGCCCCACATTAGACTCTGGCATTGAATATAGTATTCGGACGGGTGGGGTCCACAAATCTACCCATCTCACAACCTTGAGGGCTGTCTCAGAACTTTGGGGGCTATCCCAGAGCCTTGGGGGCCATCTGAGAGCCTTAAGGTCTATCTCAGAAACTTAAGGACTATCTGAGAATCTTGAGGGGTATCTCAGAATCTTAAGGGCACTTTCAGAACCTTGTGTCCTGAGGACTTTAGGGGCTATCTCAGAACCTTTGGGGCTATCTCAGAACCTTGAGGGCTCTCTCAGAACCTTGGATCAGACTCAGAAACCTTAGAAGAGTCTAGAACTTCACAGCCTGCGGATCCATCTCAGAACCCTTGCAGATCACCACAGAACTTTGTGCTGTATCTCAGAACTATATGGCCAGGCTGAACCCCAACCCCAGTCGGTGAAGGACAGCATCGCGAGACCTTTTGGATGGCCCCACCAGGGTCAACCAACAGACCCTTCAAAGCCAAAACAGATTCCCCAGAATAGGATCCGTCACAGAACATAGGGCTTGGTGCTGGGACTGAGCCCTTCCTAGGACCCAGGTTCCTTTCCCAACCCCCTGACATCCATCCTTCTCCTCAACAGGGCCCCCCACTCCTGCATGCCACCCAGCTTGAGGTCACCATTCCCCAAAGATGATAATTTATAGCCACAAGACAGAAACCTGTTCCTGGGGCCCAGGACTGTCAATCTGTCCTGTGGGTCTGCTTGGTCCAGCACTGCCCACACTGGGTCCTCCCATAGCTTCAGGGTCCCCTACTACCTCCCAACTCCTCATGGTCACCTGTTTGTGCATCTCGATGTTGAGGCCATAGGACATCTCGTAGTACTGCAAAAGAGATGGCCTTGGGGACACTGAGGTGGCAGGAGCACAGCCAGCCCCCACCTGGGGGACAATGGGGTTCTCTACCCGCCCTGAGTCCCCTCAGGGACCCAAGGGGATTGTAGGGGATTCCCAAGAGAGAAGTTGGTTCCTGCTAATGCCCCAGAAAGTGGGACAGGCAGAGGGTCCCCTAGAAAAGCATTCTGACCTGCCCTCTCTGTGGGTTGGGGGGATGGGGACAGGGACAGGGTGACCCGCTGCTACCCCTCACCATCACGTAGTGTCTTTGCATCTCTGTCTTCTCGCTGGCCAGCTTCTCACACTCCAACTTGAGACTGGACAGGGAAAGGATGGAAGGGGGAGGGTCACCACGTCCCCAAAGTGACAGTTTGCTTTTGTCCCCATTTCCATAGACGCTGTCTCCAAGCTTGGTGACCTCAGACCTACTCTGCTGGTATCAAACCTCCCCCGGAGGAAGGTTTCACCCCACCTCCCACCTTGACTTGGGGTATCACCACCACCCAGAAGCCTTCTTGTGGGGCCAGTAAGCCCCGCTCCTTGTCCGAGATGCCACGCCCCTTCCCAGGAGGCTCCGCCCCTCCCTCCCTGGGGCCGCCAAGTGCCCTGGGCTGGTGACCCCCTCACCTGTGGTACTGAGCTTGGAGAAACTGGAATTCTTCTTTGATCCTGTCACAGATTTCCAGGACTGAGAACTTGAAGGGTTGGCCGGAGTGTAGCGGGGTCTGCAGTGGACCGGGAGGGATGAACACCAGGGCGAGTTCTAGGGGATACCAGCAGGCAGGTCTCCCTCCCTTCTCCCGCGCTTCTGAGCTTCGGAGGGGGTCTCCCTACTCACCGGGTGTCTTCCCTGCGGGTACATCCTGCAGATCGATAGAGAAGCCGCCCCCCAAGTTCCCAGAGGCTTGAGGATGTGAGGGGGAAGCTGGGAGCTGGGTTGCAAAGCTGGAGTTGAGTAAAATCAGGGGTGCAAGGCTTGGGGTGCGGAGAAGCTGGGGTGCAAAGTTGGGGTTGAGGGAGAAACTGGGGTGCAAGTCTGGGGCCTGGAGAAAAACTTGGGTGCAAGGCTAAGGTTAGAATCAGGGGTGCAAGACAGACTGGGGAAAGCTGGGATGTAAAGCTAGGGCTAGGAGAAACTGGGGTGCAAGGTTGGAGCTGGGGGAGACGCTGGGATGCGAAGCTGGAGCTTGGAGAGAAGATGGAGTGATAGGACTGGATGGAGTAGGGGGGAAGATGGGGTGCAAAGCTGAGACTAAAGGAGAAGATGGGGTGCAGAGCTACAGCTGGGGGAAAAGCCAGGAGCTGGGGGAGGGAGAGATTTACGTGAAGAAAAGAGCAACAAGGACAGCGAGCTCGGGCAGGGGACCTGGACTCCCCCGCAAGCGCCCGCCGGGGTTTAGGGGTGCAGCCGGGGCGGCCGCAGCCGGCGCCGCAGGTCGGTGGCTGCCGCCCGGGGTCGGTGCGAGGTGGCTGCGGAGACGCCTCCCTCCGCTGGGCTCGGCCGGGAGCCGCGGGCGGGACCCGCCTTAAGGTGGCACGGCCGCCCCCGCAAACCGTCTGTTTCCTTTGCACCTCCGTACACTGGGAAACTGAGACTCGAGGTCCCATCTGACTGCTCCTACCCTTCCCACCAAAAAGTAAATTAAGAAATAAGAGAGTAAGAGAGAAACCGATCAGGTAATAAACAACTCCTGGCCCTCCACTCCTGAGGCTCTTGGGGACCCGTGTGCTGTGACAAGTGGCTTTTTTCAGACCCTCACATGGTCCCCCTCGAAGGATCTAGAAGTTCCTCAGCCAATCTCAAAGCAGACGCAAATAGAAACCTGTCCCAGGAAGGGACAGAGCTGGGCTATGATGTCAGCTAGTGCGGACTCCACTGTAAAAGCACAGTGAGGAGGGGGATGAGACAGGTTTAAATGAGATAGAGCTGGGACAGTTCAGAACCATGGCCAGGCTGTCACCACCAGTAGACTGGGGCCTCCTCTGCCAGACTGTGGGGTACTAGAGGGCAGGACACTCCACATTTAGCACCCAGAATTTCAGTTTTGGGGATGAAACCTGGGGACTAGAACATGTACCCTGGAGCTCTACCCTCTGAGCCAGGCTCCCAGCCCCTCACTGGGCTATTCTAGGCTGTCACTCTACCCTGAGCCACACCCCCAACCCACTCTAGATTTTGAGACTAGGTCTTGCTAAGTTTCCCTAGCAGAGTTTGAGCTTGGAATCTTCCTGTCTCAGCCTCTGGAGTAGCTGGGATGGCAGGTTTGTACCATCAAGCTCAGTTCTGACATCAGGCTTAAGTGCCCAGGACTAAAGACTCTACCTCCAACCAGGGAACTCCTCCAAGGCAGCTTCTCTCATACCATCTCTGGTGGGACAAGAGAGTACTTGATCCATTTTCCCAGAGAAGAAACCTTAGATCCATCATTTAGTTAATCAACAAACATACACTCACTGCTACTGTGGACTACTATGCGGTGGGGAACAGAGAGAACAGGGGGAAAGACCTCCCTGAACATGTTAACATTTGGACCTCTGCTGGGAGCTAAGCCAGTTACAGGGTACAAGAACCTTTATGAAGCAGTACTACAGCAGGACATCAAGCGAGCCCCAGGGCTTCCAGGTTGAAAGTAGAATAATCCCAGCCCACTGGGAGATGAGCCACAGCTCAGTCAGGATTACAGCTGGACGGTCAAGGGATTGGTGCACAAAGAATTTAGACAACTATGATGGAAACCAAACAGTGAGATTCACAGATGTAGTGTATGTGGGAAAGGGCTCATTGAGAAATTTCTTACCACAGAGTCCATAGGCCAAGGAAGGAACAGGAAGAAGGCCTTGAATCCCCCAGTGAGGGGCTGGGGGCAGGGCTCAGGGGTAGAGTGACAGCCTAGGGTCCCCCAGTGAGGGGCTGGGGGCAGGGCTCAGGGGTAGAGTGACAGCCTAGGGTCCCCCAGTGAGGGGCTGGGGTCCTAGAGCCTCTGCCTACATTTTCCTGTGTTTCTGTCCAAGGCTGTGTAGGGACTGTGCCTCCCTCTCATTCCCTAAAACTTGGCTCCCAATATAAACAGGCAATGGGGTGAGACAGGGAAAGACTCCAGAAATTCCAGGCGGCCCCCTTTCTGGGAAGCCCTAAGAAGCAGAAAGTTCCACACTCAGTTCCAGCAGAGCCAAGTGTTCCTGATTCCAGATTCTTGATTCCAAGGCCCTCCCGGTCATCCAGGAATCCCAATATCTCTTCTCTCTAGGCCACTCTGATAAAGGTGGGCTCCCCAGCACCTACCCTCACCCCATAACTTCTCTGAGCCTTTGCCAAAACTCACCATCTGTTCTAACTCAGCGTTTTGTGTTTTGATACAGGGTCTTGCTGTGTAGCCAGGCTGGTCCCAACTCACAATCCTCCTGCCTCAGCCTCCTCCGGGGGTTCAGGTCACAACTGTGTACTGCCATACTCACATTTGAAACTCATTTTTTCTAGTTCTGTCAGACCCAATCCCCTTCCTGTGAGGCTCACCCCAAGTGGTCTTCCAGCACTGCAGAGCTTCCCAAGGCTCCCTAGTTCCCTCCTAACACCCTGCAGCATTGCTCTACTCCAAACCTCCCTAACCACCTGATCTAATTTGCGCTCTCCTACTCCTGAACCTGGTGTGCAATCTAGGGGGCTTCCTGGAGGAGGTCACTGCCTGAGAGCCTGGGGTCCTTTGGCTGGGCACTTGCTACAGGGGACAGTAAATACAGATGAATGAACACCCAGGGAAACCACAAGACTCTGAGTCTCTTTCGAAGCAGGAGATAGGATCTAGGAGTTTCCATAGCAATGCTGGCGACCCCCACACTGCTTAAACTCCACCACTGACGTGCATGGTCCATCAAGCAAGGAAAAAGGAGAAAAAGCTGACCGAGCGGGAGTCTAGAAGGCTCTCCCAGGCAAGTGTTTTCTTGGTCTCAGTTTCCCCTTTTGCAAAATTTGGAAAGAAATGGCAAAATTCGGGCTCAATTTCCTCCAAACTCCCTCTTTCCACTGTACATAAAGACTCAGCCCTAGGTTCCTGGCTGAGATTTTCAGATAGGTACGTGGTTTTAAAAAAGAAAAAAAGGAAGAGAAAAAAAGAGTAAAACTGAGTGTTGGGGCCCGGGACTGCTCAGACCACCTTAAATCAGACTGGCCGCCCCAGCAGCTCTGGAAGTCCCTTTCTTTGCGGTGATTGGCTGAGTGTGCCAGCCAATCGGCATGCGACGGTCCCACATGGGTCTCTGACATCGCAGGAGCGCTGGCCAATGAACATCAGGATGCCAGTAACCAATAACAGAAGCTCTTGGATTGGGCTGAGCCAATAGGAAAGCTTCCGGTGGGTTGGGGGCGGGGGGCAGGGGCCCCACGTCAGAGCTGAGTGGAGACCCTCGTGGCAGCCCCTATGCTTGGTGGGTCCCCTTTTAAAATTAAAAGTCCCCTAAAGCCAGGCGTGGTGGCGTATTCGTGCTATCCTAACACTCAGGAAGCTGAGGCAGGAGGATAGATGGTTGTGAATCCGAGTGTGGGCTACATAGCCAGCAACAGTCTCAAACTATATATTTTTTACATTTAAAAAAGTAATAATAGAGCCGGGCTTGGTCCCAGCACTCGGAGTAGAGGCAGGAGGATCTCTGCGAGACTGAGGCTAGCCCGGGCTCCATAGTGAGTTTCAGGCCAGCCTGGGCTATAGAAAGACCCTGTCTCAAAACTATGCAAATACAAATAAATATATTTTAAAAATTAAGTCTTTCGTCTCAGTAGATAGCTTGGCACGCTTCCGAGATACACAAAGCGTCCTTCACCTTGTTTTTGTAAACTGAGGCAAAGAACACGGAAGGCTGAGACTTTATTTTAACCCCACTCCAGGTTCATTTTTTTAACCCATTAAGTCCCAAAGGGCAGGTGTTTATTTACAGGAAGGTGAGAGGTGGAGATACTGCACCGCGTGCCTCAGTTTCCCCAATGTAGATTGCAGGAGATGTCAGTGACTGTTCTTGGAGGAAAAAAATAAAAAGACTACATATTCCAGCAGCCCCTGCGCGCCGCGTCGGCTCGGGCTGTCAATCAAAGTAACGTGGGTCCCCCAGCCCGCGCCCCCGCCCCCTGCGGCAGCTCCCGCTCAGTCCGCGGCTCCAGGCCCAGCGCGGTATAATTACAGCCCATTGATCCGACCGGGCCTGGAAAGTAGCTCCCTGAGGGAGGCCAAAGCCTTTGGCTTCCGACACCCGCAGCCTCCTCCTCCTCCGTGCGCCCCCACCTGAGCTGCTGGAACTTGCTGTCGTCCCCCCTACCCAACCCGGGCTGGGGTGACCTCTGAGCCTCAGCTCCCTGCCAAGCTTGGCCTGGAAGAAAACCACACGCACACATATGCACATTTCTGTCCCTAGCAACGCGGGGAGCCACAACCTCCCCCCCAAACTAGACACTGTGTGCCTTAGTGCTTCAGTTTCCCGGCTTTCCCAAGACATGCCCCCAGCTGAAGTTGGGGCCTAAAGAGAGGATTCTCCCCCCCCAAAAAAAAACTGTGGAGCCTGGTGCGGCAGAGCCTGGAGTCAGAACCCTAAGGCTTCCTGGGTGTGGGCGCTAACGCTGGGGTTCTGCAGAGAGCACAGGAGTTGGAGAATCAGTGCAATGCATGGAGATCGTCCTGGCTCAGAGCTGGCCAACTAAAATGAACAACGCTGACCTCTGACATTCCTGGGGGCGTGGCTCTGTACAGGCGCCAGGCTGAGAATGCGGGAGCAGGGGGCTGGAGCATGGCATTCTGGGGCGTTTTGGGAGCACGATTGTCTCGCTAGGCAAGACTGTGCGGCTGGGCAAACAACAGGGGCTTGTGGACTCAGAGGTCGTGGCCAAGTGTGGTCCAGGTACTGGGACTTCTCAGAAGACAAGATGGAGGGGAGTCTTCACAAAACTCGTGGTTCATAGATATCTGTCTGAGAGGTTCCTAACATGCTTTGCCACGTGGCAGTGTGGACAACCCCCACCCCCCAACCCCCTGCACAGTTAAGGACCCTTTGCCGCCACCCTGATCACAGCCTATGGACAGTCTGCGACTCGTGTATTTTACCCACGGCTGTGATGATCCACTAAAAAGTGAACCCTTCACATCCTTGGACCATGCCTAAGAATCTTCTCTAGTTCTGCCACTGTCTTCATAGAAACACATGAACATCTCAGCTGTATGAGGTCAGGGAGGGGCTGGGGGTAGAGTGACAGCCCAGAATCCCTAGTGAGGGGCTGGGGGCGTGGCTCAGGGTAGAGTGACAGCCCAGAATCCCTAGTGAGGGGCTGGGGGCGTGGATCAGGGTAGAGTGACAGCCTAGAATCCCCAGTGAGGGGCTCGGGGCGTGGCTCAGGGGTAGAGTGACAGCCTAGAATCCCCAGTGAGGGGCTGGGGGCGTGGCTCAGGGGTAGAGCCCCCTGCTCCCGCCCTGCAAAGGCCCTGGGGCTGCATGCTGTGACAGTGTGTCACCTGTATCCTCTATCCACAGACTGAGGCTGCAGCTCTCTCTCTGAGTCATTCCCCCTTCTCTGTGACCCACTCTCCCCCAGGGCAGAGAGATGTTCAGTCCTCATCTGTTCTCCTGGTGAACTGGTCTTTTTTTACCACCTGTCTTTGTGGCTGTGAAAGGAGCCCCACATGCTGTTTTAATGTGCCCACCCCATTTTCAGCACTTTGTGGGGTCCCTAAGGATGGGAGGGCTGTGGGCCTGGGCATCTCTAATATATAATCACACCGGTATATAGCAGACACCTAATATAAATTCTGAATTTAGGAATGAAAAGAAAAGGGCTCCAGGATAGAAATTTGTTTGTTGTTTTGGGGCATTTACAATTTTTGTGGAGGAGAATGTGGGTGATGAACCCAGAACTGGCCCATCTGGGAAGGAAGTCCCCTTCTCCCTCCCCACCTTCCTATCTCCAGCTGAGTTGCCCTGTGCTCAGACATGAAGCTGTCAGACCCAGAGATGCCTAAGACCCTGCCTGGAGTCAGACAGCAAGGTGAGGGTAATGTAGTATTGGGGGCCACCAACACTCACATGTGAGGCCAAATCTGGGCCAACTGCCCCCTCTACTCAGGCCACAATCTGTTACCCACCGTTAACCACAGCCGGCAGGCCGGTATCAGTCAGCAGAACACTGCACCAAGCCCTGGGGATTTAGGGGTACAGGGTTATTTGGGGGGTTCACTCAGTGTCCCTGAATAGCCTGCTATTTGTCAAACCCCCAGCACAAGCTTGGTGATCCAGAGGGAACTGACCAATGTTCTGTGGCCCTTGCACTATTTCCTGACCTTTAGCAGGCCTCTGTTTCACTCAGGTGGGGGTCACTGAGACCCCCCACTCCACCAACTCAAGGTCAGAATGGGTTTTGGGTGGAACTGCCCAGGCCAGATGGAAGGAGCCTAGGAGGGTCTTGCCCTCTGACTCCCACTCCTTCCCAGGCTGTCCAGTGTTGCTCCTCTCTGATGACAGGGTGGGCAGCTCCCAGCATCCTCAGGTCCTTAACGACCAGGACTGGGCAGTGACCTGGCCTTGGGATGGAGACCTGAGAGTTCTCCTCCTCCTTCAACTCCTTTCCCCCAACACTCCATCTCCTCCTCCTCCTCCTGCTCCTCCTCCATCTGCTCCTCCTCCTCCTCCTCCTCCTCCTCCTCCATTTCCTCCTCCTGCTCCTCCTCCATCTGCTCCTCCTCCTCCTCCTCCTCCTCCTCCATCTCCTCCTCCTCCTCCTCCTCCTCCTCCTCCCCCTCCTCCCCCCT